GGGGGGGCTTGGGCACCAGCCCCTGTGCGTGCGTGCGGTTGGAGTTCTGGGGGCAGCAGGGCCCCAGGAGAGAGATTTTCCCCCTTCCTCAGCCCTGGCCCACCTCTGCCTGCCTCCCCTGCTGACCTCCTTACCTTGTCCCTCCTTCCACCAGCTTGTTTCATCCCCTGCCCCCCTCCTGTCGGGGGGGGGGCACAGAGTGGGAGATCGGTGGGACATAGGCCGGGCTGGGCTAGGCATCCACAAATAAACAAACAGCCCCTCTCATCTCCTACACGCCATGGGCGGGCGACAGGCTGCCTGAAAAAATGTGTGGGGAGCTGAAGGGGGAGAGAGGGGGCTGGGGCGGGGGGACCTTGGGGAGCCAATCAAGAGGGAAGAGGGGAGGGGAGGTGGAAACGGGGAGTCCGGCCATTGCCAAGAGCAGTTGGGAAAGACAGAAGGGATTAAAAAGGCATCTTGTCTAGGGTCTGGCCACACTTTTTTGATTGGATTAGAGAGTCCTTGGGGTTGGAGGTCATATTCTTCATCCCTCTGTCTCTTGGAATTGGAAGGAAAAGGAGAGGTCATTTAGTCCAGCCCCCCTTCATTTTACAAACAAGGAAACTGAGGCACAAAGAGGTTAAAGTGCTTGCCTAAGGTCGCAGAAGTAGTAAGTAGCTGAGCTAGAGTGTCCAAGGGACCCCCTCCCACACCCATTTCCCATTCACTTCAAGAAATATTTATTAAGCACCTACTAAGTTCCAGGCACTCTGCTGAACACTGGAGATACAAAAAGAGGCAAAAGACAGTCCCTGGCCTCAAGAAGCTTACAATCTAATGGGATTTAAGCATCCCTCAACTGTTAGCCCTATGGCTGTGACTTTGAGTTCCCTTCCTCTAGGTCCCCTGCCAATGTAGGAAGCAAGTTGACCATTAGGCATATTCTAAGATGTGCTCCCCAAACTCACTCCCCCCAGCATTTTGTAATTTACCCAGTGTTCTATGTACGTTATCTCACTTGAACCTCACCACAACCCTGGGAGGTGGATACCATGGGTGTTTTACAGGTAAGGAACTCAACTGAGACTCGCTTATGGTCATCCAGCTAGTTAATGTCACAGGCAAGATTCTAGGTTTCCCTGCCGCCATGTTGATTGTCCAAAATGATGGCTAATCCATCCAAGTCATTCAATTGCAGATTTGTTTGCACTTCTTGGATAGGACCAAATATCAGACCAGATGAGCTGAGGGATCAGGAGGGCCTAATCAAATCCCTGCCCTGCCGTCTTTAGCCCCGGGCTCTTAGCCCAATCAATTCGCCTTCTCAAGTCTCAGTAGTGGAGCTGGGACATGGATCCCAGACCCAATGTCGGCCTCTCAGGCTAGCCAACGTTCATCACTACTGCTTTCTTTTGTCTTTAGGCCAATGTTGTACCCTAGAGTTAGAAGGTAGACTTACTGAGGGCAGGGCTTGCTTTGGTCAGCTTTGTCTGTTTATCACTAGTGCCTAAGTCTGTGCCTGGAATTATTTACTAAAGGCTTATTGAATTGAATACAAAGATGAGCTTAGACACATTTCCTGCCCTTATTTCCTGTCTTTCAGGAGCTTATAGTCTAATAGGGGGCTTAAGACGCAGATGGGCAGCTATAGAGGGCACAGTGGATAGACTGCTGGGCCTGAAGTCAGGAAGACCGGAGTTCAAATGTGACCATTCACTTACTAGCTGTGTGACCCTGGGCAAGTCATTTCACCTTGTTTATCTCAGTTTCCTATTCTGTAAAATGATCTGGAGAAGGAAATGGCAAACCACTTCAGCGTCTCTGCCAGAAAGCCCCAGATGGGGTCACAAAGAGTCAGACACGACTGAAATGACTCAACATGACAGACAAGGACACTTGAACACAAACAACATAGGAGAAGAACATAGCGAAAATCCGCATAAGAGGTCGTGAGAAATGAGATGGGCCTCCAGTTATTTCTTGTTGGGGCTGTCAGGGAGCAGGAGTGCGTGTTCAATTAGTCAATCAACAGAGAGGCATTTACTGAGTGCCTGCCTGGCCAGGTACTGAGCTATGTGTTGAGCATACAAAGACAAAAGCGAACCAGTTCCTGCCCTCAAGGTGCTTCCAATCTATTGTCGAGGATAACTCGCCTGATTCTGTATAGGACTTCTATTGAATGAACACAAGAGAGTTTGGATTGGGGGAGCTCTGGGAACTGAGGAAGCCAGCAAAGGCTTCATGACCATCTTCAGCTAAGGCTTGAGACTCTCATCCCCAGGGGTATAAGAAGCCCAGCTGGCAAGGCAGTGCATGCTGGGCTAATGCCAAGACCCCGAAGTGGGAGAGAGGGGAGGTGTGTGTGTGGACGGGGAGTAAAGTCTGAGAAGACCAGAAAGGTAGGAATGGACTGCCAGGTGGTCAAGGCTCTGGATCTCTCCTCTTCTGCAGGTTTTCTCCAAGATCTTCAGCCATGAAGCCTTGGAGACTTATCTCCCCAAAATCCAGCTGGTGATCCAAGACACTCTGAGGGCCTGGAGCAGCAACCCTGATGCGATCAACGTTTACCAGGAGGCCCAGAAACTCACCTTCCGCATGGCCATCCGGGTCCTCCTGGGCTTCAGCATCCCCGAGGAGGACCTCACCCACCTCTTCGAGGTCTACCAGCAGTTTGTAGAGAACGTCTTCTCCCTGCCTGTCGACCTGCCCTTCAGTGGCTACCGTCGGGTGAGTCCAGCCCGTTGGCCCTGAGCACCTTCTCAGGGCAAGGGCGCCATACTGGGCATTGAGGCCAGGGAGGAAGGGTGGAGTGAGCAGGGGCCCTTAGTCTGAGGGGCAGGCCCCTTCCCCACAGAGGGCTCTTATGTTCTAAGACAGCTACGGGGCCATTCCTATTCAAGGCATGCAGAGGTCAGGGAAGAAGCCTGAAATAATGGAGTGGGTTGGGGTTGGAACGTGAGGGTCTCCTAGGCATTTCTAAGGGAGAGAAATCAGACTCCTGTGAGGAATATGTGTGCCTGGATCCTTTCAAGAAAGATCTCCTTATGGGAAAGCTGGGCGCGAGAGTCCTTGTAGGCTGAGGCTGGGGCATAGACAGGCTGGACTCTTCTCTAGCCCTGAGCCCATGGCCACAGGCATCACTGCCCTTGTCCCCTTGCTACCTTCCCCATGCCCTTGTCTCGGGGGTGATGGTGGGAGCTTGGGCTCCCTTCTCATTCCCCCAGGGCTGCCTGCATTCCTGAAGGCTTCCCTTCCCTTCTAGGGCATCCAAGCCCGGCAAACCCTGCAGAAAGGGCTGGAGAAGGCGATTCGTGAGAAACTGCAGAGCACGCAGGGCAAGGATTACTCGGATGCTCTGGACATCCTCATCGAGAGCAGCAAAGAGCATGGCAAAGACATGACTATGCAAGAGCTGAAGGTGGGCGCAGCCCTGCTTGGGGTCTGGGAGGGGCCTCAGAGGCAGTGGACCCCAGTCCTCTCATCTGACAGTGGGAGAAACTGAGGCTCAGCAAGCAGAAGGGACTTGCCCTTTGATGTACTAGGATCATATCATGTCAGAGGGAGGCAGGGAGACATAAATTTTTACAGATGAGGAAACTGAGGCACCGAGGCTTCACTTTCAAAGTGGCTTCCCAGGATCAAGTAACTAGGAAGTATGTGAGGCAGGATTTGAACTCAGGTCTTACAGAGGAGGAAAACAAAGCTCTGGGAGTTCAAGTGAGTTGGTGGCGCTAGGCAGGAAGAGAACAGTTGGGATGAGAGACTTCTAGGTGCAAGGGTCTGCTGCTCCTTCCCCAGAGATGCCCCAGGGACAGCAGAGGAGCCTTCAATCAGCTCTGGGGCCAGAAGAGGGGGTTCTGGGCAGTGCCCATTCAGTGGATCCTTGTCCTGACCATGCCCTCCATGCCCATTGCAGGATGGGACCCTGGAGCTGATCTTTGCAGCCTATGCCACCACGGCCAGCGCTAGTACCTCTCTGATCATGCAGCTGCTGAAGCACCCCAACGTGCTAGAAAAACTGAGGGAGGAGCTGCGAGTTAACGGTATCCTGCACAATGGCTGTGTGTGCGAGGGTGCCCTGAGGCTGGACACCCTCATCGGCCTGCGCTACCTGGACTGTGTCATCAAGGAGGTCATGCGCCTCTTCACGCCCATCTCTGGTGGCTATCGCACTGTGCTGCAGACTTTCGAGCTAGACGTGAGTGTGGGCTGTCAGGGGAGAGGCCAGGGAAGCCTGCCCTCAGGGAGCCTCTGGTCTGGTGGGGGGAGACACAGCCCTCTCCTCTGGGAGCTCTGCGTCTGATAGGGGGAGATAGTCCATCTCCGGTCTCGTGGAAAGAGTATGCTTTGGCCTTTGGACTCAAAGCGGCCGGGTCTGAATCCCTGCTCTGTCATTTACGAGTTGTGTGACCTTGGGCAAATGACTTGCTCTCTCTGGGCCTTAATTTCTTCCTCTGTAAAGTGAGGAGATTAGGCTAGCAGCCTTTGGCATCCGTTTTAGCTGTCGGACCTCACGCCCTGGTCATCACCCAGGTTTAAGGCTCCTCTGATAGCTTGCCTGCCGTGTCCCTCCCAGATCCGTTCTCAGTGGCCCTCCCCCGTTTGCTCTAATCCTTCTGCAGGGCTTTCAGATTCCCAAAGGGTGGAGCGTGATGTACAGTATCCGGGATACGCATGACACCGCGCCGGTCTTCAAGGACGTCGATGTGTTCGACCCTGACCGCTTCAGCCAGGCTCGGAGTGAAGACAAGGATGGCCGCTTCCACTACCTCCCCTTTGGCGGTGGCGTCCGGATGTGCCTGGGCAAACATCTGGCCAAGCTCTTCCTGAAGGTGCTGGCGGTGGAGCTGGCCAGCACCAGTCGATTCGAGCTGGCCAGCCGGACATTCCCACGGATCTCCCTGGTCCCCGTTCTCCACCCTGTGGATGGCCTCAGCGTCAAGTTCTTCGGACTGGACTCCAACCAGAACAAGATCCTCACCGAGACCGAGGCCATGCTGGGGGCCACCGTCTAAGGGGGCTCCCTGGTGATGTCCTCCCCCTCCCCCTCTGCCTTTCCATAGCTTGGGTGGGGAGGGGAGCCAGTAAAGGAATGGGGGGGGTAACAAGGAAACCTGTGTCAGTGTAGGAAGGGGGGGACCCTGGAAGCAAAGAGAAAAGGCTGAGGGGGGAGGAGAGAGGATCCACTAGCTCTTCTCTCCTTTCCCTTGGTGGCCTACACCCTCTGGCCGATGCTGAAAGGGTCATCCCCACAATATGGGGCTGGGAGGAGGGTCTGGCCCTTCATTTTGGAGCAAGGGGTTGGTTTCCCTTCTCCGACTCCCCTCCTCTTTCCCTCGTCTCCCCCAGCCTAGCCCCTCCTTCCTCCCGGCATGGGGTGGAAGATCGTAATCTGCCGGTGACCCGCATGCCCTTTACAGTGTTAAACGTGTGGTGTTAACGGTGTTTTTTGGACGTCGTTGTTTCCCGTTGTTCCCTGCCCTCATCCCTTCCCCCCAGTGCCCCATTTTATTTCTGTTCTCCTCCTTTGGGTTGGGGTGAGAAGGGGTCTAAAGTGCAGGGAAGGGAGCTACCCACTTAGCTCATTTCCCATCCCCCCAAAAGACCTGCTCTACCCCCACCTCTTACCACTGCTCAGACCAGGCCTTGAACCCCTCAGAACCTCCCCAGGCTTGGGGGGGGGTTACTCTGCAGCAAGGCATTCTGGGTGATGGCCTGAGGGTGGTGAGCCAAAGTGGCTGTGAGTTCCATTAGGGACTCTCACTGCCAGTTTGGACGGTTGAAGTCACCTGTTGCTGCTACTCTTACTTTCTCTCCCCTCCTCCTCCACCTACCCCCCTCCCCCCGCCCCCAGCATCGGCCCTGGAAGCCCAGGGTGAGCACACTCAGCTTCACTCTCCCCGTCTATCAGCCTTGAGCCAGACTCTCCTCCCCGTGCCCAACCCCTGCCACTGAGAGCACTTGAGCTAATAAGCCCCTCCCCATCCCGTGCCCTTATATTTATTAATGAGTCCCTGGGATGCCTAGAATTTGCAGGACTGGAGAGGTCAGCTGTCTCCTCCACTGCGCCTGCTTCCCAACCATTGCCCTATTCTTAATGATCTCCGGAGAGAGAGGAGGAGGAAATCATGATCTCCCCCAAGCCCTGACCCCCGATCCACTATCTGACACCCTTCCCTAGGTCAGAGCATTCTTCTGATGGTCTGACCACAGGCCTTTTTGATGCAGATGGCATGTACGGCCTGCACAGTCAGGGAAGTGACCTGTCACCATGAGCCCTTCTTACAGAAATGCCAACGCTCTGGGGACTCGAAGGTTGCTTTGACCTTGTGCCCTGACCTAAGTCCCCCTTTCTCCCCCACTCTCTCCCTGGGTGGGTGAATTCAGAGCAGAGGGGATGGGTTTAGGGCTGCTTCTTTGAGAGAAGCTGAGCCTCTCTCCCTACCCTGTCTCCTCTTCCCGCCCGGTTCCCCAGACCCTCCCCTTGTCCATATTTCCTTCATGCCACTGGCCCATGTTATACTCTGCTCCAGGAGGGGAAGACAAAGTGGAAGGAGGAGAAATTCTCAAGCCCCCTTTTCTTTGAGTCTGACTTGAAGCCTCCCTGCTGGAGTCTCCCTACTGACTAAGGACAGAAATGGAAGGGAGCTCTGAGAAACAGTTACTAGATGAGCGTTCTGGGCACCCCCCGGCAAGACTGAGTCCTCCCTCTTTCTCCAGGCCCTGCTCTTTCTCTGCATCTGAAGAGGAGGAGATGATGTGCCTGGTACCAAGGTCGCTCTCACCTGTGGGTGAGGTTTGCCTGCTAGGAAGTCAGGATGGCGAGGAAGGGACGGCCAGGACAGAGCGGGGTGTTGTTCACTGGGCTTCCCCTCCCATTCCCAACCCCTGCCTTGTTCGACTCCTTTCCACCCCATCCCGTTCTCCTGCAGCTCCGTAAACCATGGGTTCAAAGTCTTAGAACCCTAGGGCAGGGTCACCTTGAAGAATGGCATTCTGGGTAACATGATGCAAACCAGCCAGGACTTGGGGGTGGACCTCTATCTTTCAGGAGACTGGAGAAGGAAGGGGTGGAGGATTCTTCAAAGAGCTTGGTGGGCAGAGGGTTAGGTGGGTGGTTGGGCAGGAACCAGGGGCCCAGTACAAATGCAGAGAGAAGCCAGGAAGGAAAGAGAAGGAAGCGTGGACCTAAGGCACTTGGCTTGATGGGCTCGCTTCGGTTTTAGGCCAGAAGCGTCCATCCGTCTGCAGCTCGGTTGTATGCCCAGATGCGTGTACACGCATGTATCTCCAAACGTGCGTGTGTCTGTCTTTTAGCACTAGATTTAGATGGGGACATCCTAACTAAGACAGCCCCTCCGCCCCCCCACACAAGGCCACCCCTGCAGTGGGTTTGCAGAATAAAGCACTTTTGATGTCGGGGCCCTGGTGGTGGCGCCCCCCGCACCATCCCAACCCTGCCCAATTTGCTATAATATTATTTTATACACAAAAAAAACAATGTTTTTGGTTGCAGAAATGTTATAATTTGTTTTTTTGTCTGTCTTTATAAACTATTATAAGTACTATTTTTGTTATAATTCAAAATAGATATTTAGTATAAAGGGTTTTTTTGCTGTTAAATATTTGTTATTTAGTAAAATATGACCCCCCCACCCCCATTATTGTAAACGTGGTTCAAAAATATTAATATGTTTTATCTCGATTGTTTTTTTTTTAATATTGAGCAAAGAGCGCACTTGTGTTTTTGTTTCTGTTTTTTTTTTTAGTCATTGTTATGGATCTGGTGCTGTGTGTGTGAGTATGTTCTCTGTTGTGTGGTTTTTAATATGTATATAATATTTCGTGTGGCATATTAAAAATGAATGTTGTGTGATTTGTGATCTCAAACATAATCCATGTGACTATTTTACAGACTTCCATAATAAAAAGAGGGGACTCTGCCTGGCCTTCCTTCTTGTTTTTGGACTTTGGCTTTTCTTTCCCGGGCCCCGTGGGAGTGGGGTGAATGCAACATCCTTTTGCCATCGCTTTGTCTGCCTGTGGGCAGTACTATCCCATAACCAGAGCTAGAACCAGGGTGAAGTGACCAGGACACCTTAATTTAGGGGGCACTGACAGCCATGAGATTCCTCAGACCCTAGAGACAAATGAGCCGAGTACCTAGTTAGCAACACCGCTTAATTAAAGTAAGCCCAGAAGAGGGCTTCCTTGGTGGACTCATCTTAGGTGAGCCCCTTCCCTGCTCCGGCCTTCCCCCCTCCTCTCCAACACGGCCTCTGGTGGTCCTGGGATCTCTCTTCCCACAGGGCTGTGTTCCACCTGATCAGCTGAATTGGGCTTGAAGAGCTGATTCAAGGTCATGTTTCATGCTACTCCTTCCAGGCCTGTCTTGTGCCTGTGAGTCTGGGAAGAAGGATTCCTAGTTCTGATCTTGCCCGAACCCTTCCCTTTTCTTAAAGAGCCAGCAAGCATTTATTAAGTGCCAACGAGGTGCCAGGTGTTGTTCTAGATGCTGGAGATACAAACACAAGAACAAAACAATCCCTGCCCTCAAGGAGCTTACCCTCTTCTGGGAGGGGTGCAATATAGACATGGATCAGTCAATACCAAAATCCACAAAGAAATCTGGAGAGGGAAGAAAAACCGGTCGTTGTGAGAATCAGGAACGGCCCATGGGAGCAGGTGGTGCTTCAGCCGACCTTGGTGGAGGGAGGGGGCTGCGGGCAGGTGGGCTGGGCAAAAGGAAGCTCTGTGAGGGGCTTCCACTGTTTCCCCCACTCCCAGAGTTCATTTCATGGGATCAAAGCATTTAAAGTCAGAAAGGCATTTAGAACTCCACTAGTCTAACTTATTTTACAGAGGAGGAAACTGAGGCCCAGAGAGGGGAAGTCTGGGTTTACACAGGTAGCAAACAGCAAAACTGGGATTGGGTTCCGGTCCACCGATTCCAGATACAGAGCCTTTGACACCACCCCATGCTATGCCTGGGAAGGCCTTCTCTGTCTAATCTAAATCCTTCCCAATGTCACAGGGTCCATTCCTCCTCATTCTATAGATTGTTCAGGGTGAAATTCTTCTCCCAGGGGAACTTTCTTGGGCCAAGCGTGTAGGAGGGTGGTGGTGTCACCATTTCTTGGAGCAATGTGGAGCAGGGAAGGCACTGTCCAGGAGAGAGATTAGGAGGGTTTGAACTAGGGTGGTAGCCTTGGCAGCATCTATCAGCGGAAAAAACTACTATCCTGAGAGTTGGAACAGAATCCAGAGCCTGCTCTCTTATGTTTATGATGAAAGAACCAAGATCATGCAGGTGTGGGATTTGAACCCAGGGTTCCCCGGGGCACATGCCCCATTGTTCTCACTCTGGTTCTATCTCCTTCCCCAGACCCATCCCTGGCCTCCTTCTCGGGCCACCCTGGGCAGCCAGGCCAGTGAGTCCTGGGCCTGTTTTGGAAAAGGTGGCGGTCACTGATATCCATCCAAACCACCTCCCTGAGACCCAGGACAAACAACCTCAGTGTTTGCCCTTCTCCCCACCAACCATTTGCTATCTAATTACTGGGACTGGAGTCCCCCTGACCCCCCATGGAGGGCAGACTGACGCAGGATCCCACCCTTGTGGGAGGGAGGAATCCCGCCTGGGTTTCCGACCCATGTGACCAGTGCTAAGAGCCAACATTCCTTTCCCTAGGTGCCCCCTCCCCCAGAGCCCCAGCTCCTGGCCAGGGGTGGGGGTCAGGCCTGGGACCCACAGTGCTCCCTCCTCTCTGGTGCCATGGGCCATACCACAGAAGAGAGGTTTATTTGCACTTTGGAAAGAAAACACACACATGCACACACACAGACATTCCCCTTGGTAAGTTTTTTCCCTTCTCCTGAGGCTCCTGTGGAAATCTGGAATTTTCTTTGCCTGGTCCCCACCCATCTGTGAACTTTCTCTGGGCTGTGTCACCTTTCTGCCAAAGGCCTGAAAGGAAGGGCTGGGGTGACCTTGAAGCAAGCTACCTGGCTTCCAGAATTCATCAAACACAGGCCTTGGGCCATGGCCCTACCCACACAGGACCTCAGTTTCCCTCTCCTTACACTGCAAGAGAATGCCCCTTTTTTTTCTCCAATCTGGGAAAGAGTTTTGGAGAGTTAAAGCAGCATAGATTCACAGTGGGGATACCTGATAGACAGAGAGCATTTTTTAAGTGTGCCCAGCACTTTAGAGAGGATTATGGTAGAACTTTTGCTGCTGACTATGCACTCCCTGAGTGCATGGCCAGTGACTCCTCCATCAGACCAGGGGCCCACCAAAGGCAGGAGCTGCTACCCCCCCATTAGACCGGGGGATCCCTGAGGGCAGGGACGGTGTCTCCCCCCCTCACCATAGAAGCTCCCTGGGGCATGGTCACTGCAGCCTCACAGTCTGGTGGAAGGAATGTCAGAGCTGAAAATGTGCATTTCAATCCAGGCTCTATAATTTACTAACTATGAGACCTTTCAGCAAGTCACATAAATTTTCAGGGCCTCTATTTTCTCATCTGTAAAATGAGCAGATTTTACTACTAAGCCAATGGTTCCTTTTTTTTTTTTTAAAGTTAAATTTTTTTTCTTGTTGTGAATTCAACAATCACAACCATTTCAAGACACCCAAAGGTATGGGGAAGAGAACTGCACAAGAAACTATGAACTTCTGCTGAACAGTTTGTTATAAAAACATTTATGTATGTGTATACATATGTATAAAAGCTTGGCGACAGAGTAACAGATGACTCCATCAGCAGCTTTGTGTCCCCTTCTGCGCCCTTGCCTCCTTTGGGCTCCTTTTCAAAATGGTTTATTGGTGTTTTCTTTGTCATGCCTACCCATACTGACTGACAGGCTCAACCCTCCTTTTGTGTTTTTTTTTTTAAATCTTATTTTTTTCAATTAACAAGCATTGCTTTTTTATTAATATGTCTCTCCCACTCTCATCCCTTCCACCTGAACAGCAACAACAAAAAATACAAAACCCAAAAGGCAAATCCCTTGATTCACATAAACACAATTCAGCAAAACCAGCTCCTGTATGGGCCATGTCCAAAAAGCCTCGTCTCTTTTTGCATTTGAAGTTACCTTTCTGCTGGGAGGGGAGGGGGTGGACTTCATATTCATTCTTTGGGACTTGTGGTTTATCATTTTGGTGATCAGCGTCCTCGTCTCTCAAAGTTGTTTTTCTCTATAATATGGTCATTGTATAAATTAGTATCTTGGTTCTGCTCAGTTTTCTCTGCAGTGATTCATACAAATCTCACTGTTTCCTCTGAAGTTGTCCCTCTCATCATTTCTAGATGTCATCTAAACTAGATGACCCCCGAGGTGTCAGCCAACTCTGATATTCCATTATGTTTCTATACCACAATTTGTTTAGTCATTCCCCCATTAAGATGATACTCCTTTAGTTGACTACTATGAAAATAGTTGTTATAAATACTTTTCTACATACAGATACTTTTCCTCCATCTTTGATTTCTTTGGGAGTATAGACCTAGTACTGGCATAACTGAATCAAAAGGTGGTACATTGGGTGTCTCTCCAGACACTGGTCCAAGCTGCTGTCCGTTGTGCCTGGATCAATACTCAGCTCCATCCCAGTAAATTTTCATCATTTGTCATCTTTGCCATCCTAATAGGCATGAGCTAGAACTCCCCAAGTTGCTTTATTTTGAATTGATCTAATCATTAGTGATTTACAACACTTTTTTCATGTGATTGCTGATAGCTTTTGTCTCTTTTGAACCATTTATCTATTGGGGAATGGCTCTTAATCATAAATTTGAATCAGGTCCTTACATCACAGATATGAGATCTTTATCAGAGAAACTTGTTGTAAAGATTTCCCCTCCCTGTTACCTGTTTCTCTCCTAATTTTTACTATACTGAATTTGTTTATCTTTTAAATTTTACATAATCAAAATTGTCCATTTTAACTTGTGATCCTCTCTATTGCTTGTTTAAACATGAACTCTTCCCCATTCCATAGATACAAAAACCTTTTTTTTCCTGGATCCTAATTTGTTTTGTGATGTGACTTTTTATATTTAGGTCATACATCCATTAGGTGCTTATCTTGGTATATGGTGTGGGATCTTTGTCTAAAGCTAATTTCTGCCTGACTGATGCTTGCTTTTCTTGTATATCTGATCTGTTCCACTAATAGTCCTCAAATTTTTTTAACCAGTATCAAATTGCTTTAATGATTATTACTTTGTAGTATAGTTTGAGATTTGGTTCCCTTCCTTCCCATTTTTTTCATTATTATCCCTTAGATTATTTTTTTAAATAAATTTATTTTAATTTATCAACAATCACTTCCATAAGCTTTTGAGTTTTAAATTTTTCTCTCCCTCCCTCTCTCCCCAACGTGGCTCACAATCTGATATAGGATATACATATACCTTTCTATTAAGCATATTTTCACATTAGTGATGTTGTAAGGAAGAATTAGAACCACTAGGAGAAACCATCAGAAATAGGAAACAAAACAAAACAGAAGAAAAGAAAATAGCAAATAGTATGCTTCCATCTGCATTCAAATTCCATAGTTCTTCCTCTGGATGTGGATAGCATTTTCCATCATGAGACCTTTGGAGATGTCTTAGATCCTTGCATTGCTGAGAATACTCTT